CTCTAGCCGTGTTTTCAATAGAAATATATATATATATATATATATATATATATATTAAGCCAACACAAGTGTAGAAATTCTTCAAGTAGAAATAAACTCATTAAGTTTAAAATGAAATCTAATTAATAACTTGCAGACTAATAACATAATTCAATAAACTCATCAATTGATATTAATTTTTTTTTAAATAGAGTTTTTGTTATGTTGTATCATACAACTTTTAAAAATGTATTTATTATCTAATCACTCAATTAGATAAGTTTTAATGTGTAACATATATGTTTTTTTATAATAATAATCTTTATTTTGTAAAAAAAATTAGTTCAATAATTTTTTTTAATTAGATTGCATGATTTCTTATATGATGCCTACAAATATGATATTATATGATATATGTAGAGTAAGATGACTTTGATGTTTGAAAGAATTATAAACCTTCTCACATCAAAAGAATAATTAGAATAGATATCTAGAGTTCTTTATATTAGTTGTTTTTAGGAGGCGTTCTTGGAGTGAGTCCTTGAACATAAATAAATAAAAAATCATGGTTTCATTAACGAGCATACCAGTGGGTCACTTCCTTTCACTAATCATGCAAAGTGTTTAGTAATAACTCATTTTATTTTTAAATTTTTTCTTTAATTGGTGGCTATTATTTATAATAAGGTTTAAGTATTGATTTATTTTATGGTCTACACATCTCCAGACAAGTCTACTATAATAGAATTGTATATAAAAACACATACATGAGGAAGGATAATCAGAAAATGATGTGATAGATAGTTGATAATTGAGATGAGATATTTATTGTATATAGACTATCATAATTTAATTTTTGAACAAATAATAAATGAGGTTGACAATACAAAATTTAAAGTTTAAGAATGGAATTATTAAAATTTAAATTTAAAGTTTAATCTGGATAGCTTAGGACTCAAGAGCTTATTCTGTTATAGCTTAACATTACTCCCTGTCCATTCTTCACTGGTTCTCAACTTCTGGCTCGTTGTTTCTTTAGAGTGTTAAATCCTTCTACATGGATTGAATCTAGACACAATTCTAGATTTATTTTCCTAATTGATGTATTTTCTAAAGGATCTAACCTGCAGACCATTGGTTTACCTTTTCAGTAACCCCTTCCTCGGTTGGTTTCAAAAGTCTAGCTTCTATGTTGCAGGAATCTCTCCTTTCATGATGCTTTTGGTTATAATTTGGATTAGCGTCGATATCTGATATGGATTATTGATTTGGTTTATCCACTCTCATTTATTGATCTGGCTTACAAAAAGTAGGAGAAAGAATGAAAAACGTTGTTTGAGGTGAAAAAAGTCAAAAAAGAGAAAGAAGAGATGTTGAACAAGAGAAGATGAATCCATAATAAAGAGAAAATGACGGCAATGAAACTAGTTGTAGTAGTTTACATGACATTCTAGTAAATTATTTATTTTATGTTTGTTCATTATTAGTTAATAAAAAATTCTTTAAATTATATATAAATTTTTATTTAAATAATATATTTTAAAATATTTAAATTATATATGAATTTTTATTTGAAGTATATATATATATTTTTAATATATTTTAAAAAAATTTATAATTTCATAATATATTTTTACAATCTTTAATATATTTTAAAATTTTTATAATTTCATAATATATTTTTACAATCCATTTTTACAATTTAAATTTATTTTGTATTTTATAACATGTTAAAATCATGATTTTAACAACCTTGATGGCAAGAAGAATCTGCTAGTGCAACATCCAAACACGCTCAGCCCTGACAAGTGATGTCAATCCCTAGCAACATGCTCACACATCTACTTGTTCCGATACCGTAACTAAAATTCATTCGCTTCAGAAAGTTATATACCACCGGACCACCTTTGTGGTACTGTTATACATCCCTCTACCACGGGAAGAACGTTTCTTTTAGCCAACCCAGAATTGAGGAAACCTTAGTTTTATTATGTATAGCGAAGGAAACTGGTTTGAATTTAAACAGTATACTCAAATTACATAAATTAGTATTATTTATCTTGTTAAACAGTAACTTACGATCCAAATGGCACGTCAGATCGGATTAAAAGGCATAAAGACGATTGGAAAGCTTCTTCCACTGAAGACATCTCCTATCATCTTCGACATGATGGCTTCTGCTCTCTACATTTCTTGATTATCTGCTGAAATAAAGAAAAGATCACTTTCAGAATTTCATTCTTTTGGCAGGACCTTGATCAATGATCGGATCAACAGGAGGAAGTTGTGGCTCTCCTCCTTGTTGGGTTTCGGGGCCTTTCTCTTCTTCTGTAGTTGATTGGGGTACATAGCCTTCAGGAAAAGATGGTGGTGGAGGGGCTGGTGGTAACTGCGAAGAAAGAAACCATCAATTGCTATCTAATATCATTTCACAACCCTCATATCTGATGGTAGGTGATTGGACAAAGAAGGTTTGGCAACGTGGTACAAACCATAGTCCCCAAAAATTTAATTTTTTTTGCTAAAATTTATTTTATTTTTTTATATGTTTTGAATCATTTTGATGTAAAAATGATTTTTTTTTAAAAAAATTCATTTTGATGCATTTCAGCACAAAAAATACTTTAAAAAATAATCACAACCACAATCTCAAACAGGCCCTGTAAACAACAAATAACAACAAGAACACCTTGAAAATAAAAGCTTTATAAGCATGCATTTTTCATCAATATGGATGCAATAATTGTCGAGGGCAAACCATCACAAAGAATCATGGCTGTACATAAAGCCATGATGTGCTCACTTTTAACAATAACGGACATTTTCTTGTCCTATACTTGTATTATCTTTTATTACAGGACCACACATGTTGGTCAGGTAAGTCAAAAGTTACCTTGCGCTGTAAGGAGGCAAGAATATGATCTATTCGCTTAACTTCTTTGAAGTCAATTACTTCTTTACCAGTCTTTGATTCAGAAGCAGCGCCCTCATTTTCAGAATCAACTGCATCAGAAATCACATAAGAATTAAAATAATGAACTCGAACATGATAATGATGTCAAAGAAGGGCCACAATAAAACCTATTACACGAGCACACACAAAAAATAGGAATAGCTTTCTGTTCAGCACTATAATCCTTGGAGTTAGGGGTGCCAAAAGACCAAGGCCAAAAAAATAAGTTCATATGGAATTCCAGTCAGGATTGGGAAACGCGGTAGACAACACGTGTAATAAAAAAAATCTATAATCTCCCATTGTCTAGGGTGCATTACGGATACAAAAGTTATGGGTTGACTTTTCATGCACCATGCAAAAAACTCTAAATGAAAATGCAGGTTGAAATGACCAGTATTACAGATTGTTTTGCAGGAAAAGGTTATGCATCTACAATGCTTCAAAAATTGGTTAAATTGATGTGGAATATGAATTTAGCATATATAAGCTGTGTTATAAGAAAAATATCAACCTTTGGTGAACAATCTGCAAATTAGTTAATCAATCATCCAGCAAATTGGAATATTTAGTGAACAATGTCAAGTGTCATGAGAAAATACTACCATGGTAACTAAAAATGATAGGAAAATGGGAAATGGCAACCAATTTTGCAACCCAAACTGACTGGATATAATGCTGCAAAAAACAGAGTCATCTCATAGAAAATGCTACTTCAAATACATAACTCATTTATTCATGTGAAAACCCCACAAATTACTCAGATGGAAATCATCAAATCTGATAATGTGAAACATCAACACTGAAACTTCATTTTGAAACAAACAAAACAAGCTGTCAATTCCTTTGGGGGAAAAATAAAAAACCCTCCGAGAGAAAACCCAGGGATGCATTTCATTCAAACTGAAAAACATGATATATAACCTTCAAGAAAAAAACTAATCTGATCACTATGAGATAAAAGAGAAAAGGTGAGTAGTAGTTCAATACCATATCCAATCTTCTCCAGCTTTGACGCAGCAGTACCAAAAGCCTTTGATATATAATACAAAGCCCGTCCCTGCCATAAAGGTACACTTACTTAAGACTAAGTGCATTTTGGGAATGTAGTAGAGATTACATTTCAAAGTGTTTTTTATTAGGAAATGTATCAAAATAATATATTTTTTATTTTTTAAATTTTTTTTTGACATCAACGCATCAAAACAAGAAAAAAATAAAGCTAAAAAATTGACATCAACGCATTAAAACAAGAAAAAAATAAAGCTAAAAAATTTTTCAATTTTTTTCAAAAACATGATCCGACTGCAATCCCAAACACTCTCTGGGATTATGTTGTGTAAACAACAACATTATATCATCTTGCTACATTATCTCATCCAACCATTAATACTTTAATCATTTGACGAGAGTACAATCCATGAATATGCTTTCCAGCCAAACTTGGATCACAAAGAATAACATTATCTATACATCCTACATTAGATTCTATTTCATTTTAACACTTCCTCCCTGAATGTGCTACATGGGATGCCATGAATTTAACTCTATACTTCTTCATACCAAAAGGACTCGTCTTTTCTTTCAAGAAATTATTCCTATAACCATGTTTAACATGCAAATCCTATTTAAATCAATCATGAATGAGCTAATGGTAATGTTATTGTGGGTAAATCACAAACACCCAAAAGAAAACTAACACAAAAAGACTCACAACTCGAGCTGCAAACACACTGCAAAGTTGTGGTGCTTGGTATATGGACCCATCCAACACATAATAAGTCAGCATTGGGGTAACTTTCTCTGCACTATCCCTCTTCTGTTTTCGGAAAACAAACAAATGTGGCTCCATCACTTCACTCAGCATATACTCAGTGCCTGTCATCTTCCTTACAAAAAAAAAAAAGAAGCAAGTTCATTCATCCAAATTAGCACACTAAAATATGAAAATCAACAATACCCAACTGAATTAAAGTACTTACAATAAGTGGGAGAGATCAAGGGGGTGAATGGATTGAGACCGAAGCTGCTCGTTATTACAAGTCCAATCATAGAAAGGGGACAAAGCAAAGTAATCAAAGACTAAGTTTCGATCAAGAGGATATGTGTTTAGCCAAAGCTGGTCCCTAAAGCATATCCCTGTCATGTCTGTTCCTGGTGGCTGCTGCGGCGGTGTTGGCCCCATTGGAGGAGGATTTGCTTCGAAGTTGGTTGGGGGTTGCGGTAGTACAGGTGGTGTTGCCATTTTGAGGGGGAAAGAAAGCAGAGAGACCAACTAGTAAAATAAATAAAATGAGTTTACTCCAATATTTGACACCCACGTATATAGCTAAATTTTAAATTTCTTCTAAAATAGCTTTATTTATCTAAAAAAATAAAAATATTGTGAGCCAACAGAACTTGTTTATATTAGTATTGAACAACTTTATTTATTCATGTATAAAAAATTTATTTATCATGGCTTACCCATTCTTTTACATTTTAAAAAAATTATTAAATTATAAAAAACTTATTTTCATCAATTAACCTATGATTTAAAACCTTTATGGAATATTCCCTTCTATATTAGACCAACTTTGCTCAAATTATGCATTGGCTGTATAGTCATGTGAGTGCTAATTCACTAACAGTATAATCTTACTTGAAGGGGACAAAATTATTGGTATTTCCATTCTATATTACATCTTTTTTTCAATTCAAGTTTTAGAACCTGTTTAGGAGTGCGGTAACTACTACTTTTGGGTGCTTTTTAAAAGTATGTTTATTTTGAAAAAACATCAAATTGATGCTTTTTTTTTAATGTTTTTCGTGATTTTGGCTGATTTTGAAAACGAAAAAAAATCTGGAAAAAAAAATCATTTTGATGCATTTTCAAGTGAAAAACACTTGCGACATGCATTTAATATATGTGAATCTGGAAGGACAAACAATACACGTATGAAACTTAGATTAAAGATGTATGAGATCATTTTTAATATTGCTAAGTACCAATAATATTTTGTTCGTACAGTTGAAAAAATATGTGTGATCTTTTCAACGCACCCACAACACTGGATACAGTGAGATCTCACAATCATGCACAGGCAAACCAAAAATCAAGCAAGATCCTTCTATTTTTACATTTGATATCAAATCCTCTATGTAAATTGAATCAAATCAATCCCTTTATTGAAACTAAAACTAAAGGTATTGATTTGATCCAATATATTCAAGACGGATATTAACTGTACAAATTATATGCAGCATAGTAAATGGCCTCTTACTTGAAAAAAAAAAGAAAAAAAGAAAAGAAAAGGAGCAGCATAGTAAATGGCGAAAACCCTTAAATTCCTTCTTTCCTTTCAGCATCAGAAAACAATATTTAAGGCTTTACATGTAAAGAGACGAAAACTACAAAAATGTGATTTTACAAAAACCTGAAATCAAATCAATTCATAATAGTTGTTATAACTCCCAAACAATTATCTTTTTTTTTTTTCAAAGAATAAAAAGAACGCATATGTTACAGAAAATATGTAAAATTTGTTAAATAAAGGAGAAAATAGAATTAAATAACTCGGTCCTAGGAAAATAATATAAAAAAAGGTCTTCTTCCTAGACTACACTACTACGATGCGTTACTAATACGTCAAGCCCAAGAGGGAAATCATGAAATAGGAATAGAAATTGGCTCTGTTTCCTCTAAGTTTCTTCTACTTAACCAAACAGAAGGAAATTTAAAGAAAAAAAAAAGTAGGGAGAAAGTAGCGTACAGAATTGGAATCGGCAGCACGGATCGCTCCAGGAAATCGTCCCACGAAGTTACGTAACCCAGTAAGAAACAAATTGAGAGAGAATCGCTTGATTTTTCACGAATGGGGAACTGCTGTCGACACTGTCTAGGTGAAGATTGAAGGAGGAGGAGGCAGAGAGAGAGCGAGAGAGATTTTGCTGGGTTTTTAGGGATGGGCTTTTGTTTTTTTTTAAAAAAAAAACAATTCATACTTATATTAGGCCCTGTTTACGAGCTAATCGGAAGGAAAAGGTATGGGAACGACGTCGTTTTATTACGGCGGCTTCCCACTAAAACGGCATCATCTCTCACGGTTGAAAGGAACGATTTTCATATTGCTCAAAATGTTCTTCGAACATTCAATTTTCAATGACTTCGATCGTTCCTTCTTTTTTTTTTTTTTACAAAAGATAGTAAGAAAAAATCCATCCATTTATTTGATTACTGAAGGGACAAATCCATCAATTTATTTCATTATCAAATGGACTCCTTGTTAAGGAAAAGTTTAAAATAGAAATAATTATGAAGTTAGTTTAGAGGTGTAAAAACACTATCTTTAAAGTGTTTATTTGTCTCATATAAAAACAATACTTACAGGATACAACTAAACCCTCTAAACCTCTAAAAAAATAAGAAGATAAGACCAAGAAAAAAATATATGTATTTTGTTGTATTTCTTTTCTTTATAGTAACATGTTTTTATAGACTTGAAATATAACGATGAAACAATATGGTTGTTCATCAAATAATATCATTGTTGATAAACCACTATAATTATTCATCAAACAATATGATTATTGATAAAACATTATGATTGTTCATCAAATAATATGATTGTTGATGAAATAATATTATTGTTCATCAAACAGTATAACTGTTCATATTAAATTCCAAGTTCAAAGTTCCAAATACTATCTTTTGATATTTTAAATATCCATATAATAATATCAAGAAGCTAAATAGAAGAGTTTGTCCACCATGACTTAATTTACTATATAATAAAAAGTCACACTTAAAAACATTAGGAGGGAGTGTTTTTTTCTAATGTGGGATAAATATCTTTTCTTTATTTATTTACAAGCTACACCAATAATCCCCCATTAGTTTGTAATGAAGGTCTTTTTACTTGATAGAATTATGCTTTCAAAAAGGTATTTTGCAATTTAAACCTTCAATTAGTGTTAGAACTTGAATTTTACTAAAGTTAATGGTGTCCATAGATTAAACCAAAACTTTTGTTGTAAAATAAAAGATATTACACACATAATACTATCCAAACTCTTAAAGAGGTTTATAATTGTTTAGCACTATTATGGCTATGTGCTAAAATCATTTTTTTTTCTTGAATATTTACAAGAGAAAACCCTAACTCTTGTCAAAAGTGGCACTTCTTTTATATTCATATAGGTGGAATTATACATATTTCTATTACACTAGACATGAACTTTAAATTCCATTAAAAGCCCACGTTCATCCTACTTTTCATAATATAACGCACTGAATACTATCAGAATATGGACTCAAATTAAATATCAGTGTCTAATAGATACAAAATAGTAACTTGTTATTACCCATTAAACTAAGAGATAAGCTTTTTGCTAATCTGAAGTTGGATTTCTATTACTGGTATCTTTAATAACGAGTTTCAACCCCATTCCATTAGTTGTTTTTCATCCCATATCTTTAGATAGTCCTTTTATGAGCGAATCCACTAAATTATTCACAGACTTCACATAGACAATGGTGATTACACCATTTGTAATCAATTCTCAAATATATCCATGTCGAATGCTTATATGTCTTGGCTTACCATTATAAATGGTACTACAAGCTTGAGACATGGTTGCTTCATTATCGTAGTATAGAGAAATAGTTGACATAAGTTGTGGCCACAACTTAATATCAAACAATATATTTCTTAGCCATTCTGCTTATTTACCTGCAATAGCTATTACAATAAATTCTGATTCCATGGTATAATGAGAGATGCATGTTTGTTTCTTAGATACCAAAGATATTGCACTTTCCTTAAGTGAGAAAATCCATCCTGATGTGGACTGATTATCACTTGAACTAGTTATCCAACTTGCATCACTATATCCTTCAATCATAGTTGGAAAATCAGAATAAAACAAGCCTAAATCGATCGTTCTTTTTAGGTAACCAAAGACTCTTGCAATAGCCTTCCAATGATCTGTATTTGGCTTGATTGTATATCTTGATAACTTGCATATAGCAAAAGCTATATCTGGTTTTGTACAATGCATAACATACATAAAACTTTAAATGACACTAGCATATTCTAGTTGTGTTATTGTTTTATCATAATAATCATTTAACTTAATGCTTAAACTGATTAACCTTATTTATATTGAGATGCTTAAACTTATCAAGCATTTTCTTAATATAATGTAACTGATTAAATGCATAACCATTACTATGTTTCTTAACTTTGATACCTAAAATTGTATCTACTTCACCAAGATCTTTCATTTTAAAGATAGAAGTGAGATACCTTTTGGTTTTAATTATTCCAATAGTATTGGTGCTAAATATTAACATGTCATCTACATAAAGACAAATAATCACACTAAAATCTTATATAAATTTGGAATACATACACTTATCAGCATTATTATGATGAAAACCATTCAACAAAATTGCTTTGTCAAACTTTTCATGCCATTGTTTCAGAGCTTGTTTTAAACTATATAAGGACTTTACTAATTTACAGACTTTTTCTTCATTTCCAGGAAGTATAAAACCCTCAGGTTGCTCCATATACATTTTTTTCTTTATATCTTCATTTAGAAAAGTTGTCTTTATATCCATTTGATGAATATAAAATTTATAAATTGATGCTATCGTAAATAAAACTCTAATTGATGTAATTCTTGCCACTGGAGAATAAGTGTCAAAATAATCAACATCCTCCTTTTGAGTAAAACCTTTGGCAACCAATTTGCCTTGAAGGTTTGTATAGAACCATCGGTATTGTATTTTCTTTTAAACATCCACTTACATCCTAGTGGCTTAGAACTTGGAGGTAAATCTACGAGGACCCAAGTATTGTTATACAATATTAAATCCATTTCATCATTTACCACTTCTTTCTAAAAAGCAACATCCCTAGAAGACATATCTTGACCAAATGTCTTTGGATTATGTTTTATATTTAGGCTCATAGGTATCATTTTTAATATTGTATTTCTATCACCTTCCACTAAAAATACAATTAAATTAGTAGAAATAAAATCTATATCTGTGTATTTTTCTTTTCTAACTCTTTGACTTCTTCTAGGTTCACTTGAATCCATTACTTCTAAGTTTTTTATGTTTTTCACTTGACGTTGAGCTAGGAGTCATTATTTTTAGATTTGGTTCTTGCATATTTGAATCGCTTATAAATTTATATTCGATAAATTCAACATGTATAGATTCAACAATCACATTAGTTTTTAAATCCAAAAGTCTATAAGCCTTTAAATTTTATGCATAACCAACAAAAACAGTCTTAAGACCTCTGGGTCCTAATTTTATTCTTTGAGGATCAGAATTTTTATAAAAAGCTACACACCCCTACATTTTAAAATAATTCAGATTTGGTTTTCTACCATCTCATACTTTATAAGGAGAAACATTTGATTTTTTAGATAGTACTCTATTATGAATGCGACATGCAGTAAGTAAGGTTTCACCCCATAAATTATTTAGTAATTTAGCATTCAAAAGTATGATATTGACCATATCCATTAAGGTCCTATTTTTTCTTTTAGCAAGTCTATTATATTGTGGTGTATAGGGTGCTGTGATTTGATGGATTATTTCATTTTCCTCACAAAAAGTAGAAAACTCCTTAGAAAAGTATTCTCCACCTCTATCACTTCTAAGAACTTTAATTTTCTACCATTTTCTTGAATTCCTTGAATTTTCCAAAGGTTTCATCTTTAGTTCTTAACAAGTAAATATAGGTAAAACGAGAATAATCATCAATGAAAGTTATGAAATATCTTTTTCCACCTCTTGTTACACATACCATTTATTTCACATATATCAGAATGGACCAACTCAAGTAATTGAAAATTCCTTTCTACTTTAGGAAAAGGCTTTTTTGTCATCTTTGCTTGAATACATACTTCACATTTATTTTTATTATTATATTGATATGAAATATAATCATGTTTATACATGTATTTCAAATATCTATAATTTAGATGTCCTAATCTAGAATGCAAAAAAGAGAAGTAGATTCAACCATATAAGTAGAAATAATATCGATTTCATTAATACTGAACTTAAACATGTCATCACAAAAATAACCCTTTCCCACAAATATCCCACTGTTAGTTACAATAACCTTATCAGACTCCAAAACAATCTTGAACCCTTTCTTGCTCCAGAGACTAGTAGATAGAAGGTTTTTTCTAATTTCAGAAACATGAAACACATTAAGTAAAGATAATTTTTATCCAGAAGTCAAGTACAACTCAATAGTTTCTTTTCCTAAAACTTTGGTTGAATTATGGTTGCCCATCAAGACCTTTTCAGGTTTTTTCAATTCTTTATAAGTGTTGAACCATGCTTTGTTGTTGCAAACATAAACTGTTGCACCAGAATCCAGTCACCAATCTGATGTCTTTATAATATTAGTTGTCATATTTAATTTAGTAATCATTCTAATTTGAATGTTTGAAACCATGGCAACTAACTCCCTGATTTCATCTTTTTCAACCATATTCACTTTGAAAGAACCACCTTTCTTGTTGAAATTCTTGAATCTACACTCTTTTATATAGTGCCCTTTATTTCCACAATGGAAATAAATTCTATGCTTCTTATTAGCATTTTGTTTCTTCTTGAATTTGTTTTCTTTCTTTTGCACTTTCAGATTGTTTTTAATCATTGTCAAACCAGTTTTAGTAACCAAATTCACTTTAGAATTTGTTACTTGCAATTCACACATACGAGATTGAACCTCAATTTGCAAGTATGTTTGAAACTGTTCAAAGGTATAATTGTCTGTAGAATGCAACATCTTCTTTTTATATTCATTCTAGAATGGAGGAAGTTTTGATAAAACAACCCCTACTTGAAGTGAATCAAGAACTTTGATATCCAAATCATTAAGTTTTGATATTAGCATTTTAATTTCATGGACTTGATCCATGATTGGCTTATTATCAGTAATCTCATACTCA